TTACATATATGTATATATTTGTTTGTAAAGTATGTATTGTAAAAATGTTCTCACACACATAAATTTAACCGTGTGTGTTTTCATATCAAAGAGTCGTTGATAAAATCGGGAAACTTTATATATATTTTATATATATTTTAAACTTTACAAATTTTACAAATATATATAATTCTTTGGTATTAAAAATATCGAATAAGAATGTGAAGATTCGATTAAACTAACGGTTAAATATTAATTTCTCATTCACGAAATTTAACGATTATTCTCGATATTGCAGAATCGCGAATAAATTAGTACGAATTTTATGATTTATTTTCAATTGATTCATATATTTACAAATTCCGTATTGCAATCAAATATTCGTTAAATAAATTAATAAATTACACTGCGAAAACACCATATTTTTTCCGCGTTTTTTCCGTTCTTTCGCGATTGCTGTCCCTCTCGTCGGGTGAACGTTAATAAAGTTGTTTGGTTCGTACCGGCAAGTAGTCGAAACGATTTTTATCGTGGAGAATTATTTCTTCTTAGTTTTTGTAAGATCCATCTGCGACGTCTAGTTCGGTGCTTTGTTGAAAATTGGGGATTTTCGTTGCAGGATTGGAATTAATCTTAGGTTTTCTTGGCGATTCCTGAAAGTAATGGTTTTGGTAGTAATACAACGATGAGCGCCACACGCCTCTTTAAAGTCGAATTAAGAAATTAATATAAACAGTATATATTTTTTTAGAAGAAAAATATATTTTCTTCTCTTAAAAGTGTTCTTCTATCACTATTAATATTAATATCATTATTGTTTTTATGAAAAAGGAAGACTTAATAGTAGATTAAATATGGATATAGCTATTATGTATAGATTTATATATTCTTAGTTATTTCTAATTGCTATCAGTTTGTCTATTTTTGTTGACTTTTTTGATAAAAAAATTATGGTTACGAACAAATATATTTTAATAATTAACTATTAATTAATATAATTTTTGGTTTTTGTTGAGAAACTATTTCTAGGCACTTGGGATATTAACATCAGTTATCTCTATAAAAGGCAATAACGCGATTTTTTATAACAATATTTTAAGGCTTATAAGACCCATTTTATCCTGTTAAAACGGCCATCCGCGAGATAGAATATACATATATCTTATTGTTGATCGCGACATTTGTATAAAATCGCGTATTGGAAAATAAATCGAGCAGTGGATACTATATTACAGATCTCGAATGTCTGTCAAAATATTTTTGCATAAAATAATAGTAATTATATCTCACGCGCGTATGTGTTTGAGCTTCGATTATTATAGAAATTACACGTATCGCAATCGAATATTATAAATATCGTCGATTTATTTATTCGCGTTTGCTCGCGAATTTTAAATCGCAATTTAGTTTATAATTTAATCGTTGATTTATGTCGAATCTTTGTCTATCTTTTCGCGTCTTGAATATTTTCTTTGAAAGTCTGCATAAATGCGCTAGTAGTGCAAATTCTTTTTCTTCTACAATTAAAAGACGATTGATAACTTTATTAACGACTCTTTTGATCGCGATTATTTACATTTTATAAAACTTATTAGGCTTTATAATTGTATGTTGATTATTAAGAATAAATATCACGTAATTAATCGTTACTAAAAATTTATCTATTCTAAAAATTTCTAGTAAATTTTTTATTATACGTATATTTTGGATATTTTCGTGTAATTCCGTATGTAATAAATTATTTTGTATTAAATTTCAAATTATATTTTGTATTCAATTTCTGATTATATTTTGTATTATATTTTGTATATTGTTAAATATTTTGTATATTAAATTTATTATATCATTTGTTGTATCATTTATTGTGTATTAAAAAAAAAAAAAATAAAAAAAATTGCCCTAACCTGAGAAATAAAAAAGAGGAAAACTGTCCTCACACATTTTTCCTCCTCGATGGTATCTCCACCTTAACGAAGGCATTTGCCTTAATAGCTCTCCAAGCGATCAAACTTGCTTCACTCAAAAACGCTATTAGTTACCGGTAGGGTCACCCATGCCGGACAGGTCGAAGGGGAAGAGTCAGACTAAGAGAGATAATGTAGTTATATTTTTATATTAATATTTTTAAATAAAATGAAAATAAAAAATAAAAAAACAATAATAGAGAAAAGGAAGCTTTAGTCGTTTTTGAAATTAATGTCGTATAAATACAAATATAAATCTCCCGAGAAAAGTGTTATTTTTGCATTTCCGGTCTTTTAATTAATATTCTGAGTGGAATTCCACAAGATAGAAAAAACATTCTTAACATTTTATACGCTAAAAAAAACAATATTGCATAAGATATCGCGATTTTTTGACATTTTATGACATTTTGCGAAAATTTGATAGCTGATAGTATCATCGGCGATCATATAAACATGAAAAAATTAATTAACGCTGTCAACAATAAAAATTCCTTAAAAAACAATAGAACACAGTTAAAACTATAGGAAAATATAATTAATTATGCTTATATAAATTTGTCTATAATAGCTTTTAATGTACGTCGGTACGCACTAGTGTATCCAATTGAATTCATAAATTAAAAAATTAATTGAATAATATAATCATAAAAAAAAATTAATAATAAAAAGTTCTATAAATTAAAAGCATGATTTGATAATGTTTAAAATGCTTAATACTTTTGTTTTAAGAATAAGAAAAAAGTGAAAGCAATTTATTGTAGATATCTTCTGTGTTATACATTAACAATTAAGAAAAAAATTATTAAGAAAATTTATTTAAGAAAATTTATTTAATTTTACATGCGCATATACATAAAAATACTTCAATTGTAATTTATTATCGCTGTAGTATATACTAGAATGACAAAACATCACGCGCAGCTAATAAAACATTAATAAATATTTCTCTGCATTTTTGATCTACAATTATGTATTTAGCACGGACATGCACCAACCGGCCGTTTGACCGTGGCACCGAAAAATGAATCTGGCCATGTAGTTCCGCCGGTTCTAAGATGGATCTAGTTGACGCTACTGTACGAGCTAGAAAAAGTATCTTTTGAAAAACGGCGGCATGGCCTCTCTCATGCTTCTCTCTGATTTCGTCATCATCAGGATTGGAAACATAATAGTGAAAATATTCATCATAGACGCGTGATAACCTAAATTTAAGGTTGTCCGATAAAAAATACACAAGAAATACGCACAATAGTGTATAATGTTTCGATCATATCATTTCGCTAATGTGGCCTCGCGTGCTATTGTCATTAGAAAGAACAATACACGATTTGTAAGTTTTCATAAACTGAAAGAAACATTCAAACATTTATTGGGCACGGATTCCAATAGGTTACCGTATAAACACGTTTGTCAAATTGGTGATCCTGTTTTACGTGGCCACGCTATGAAGATAGAACCAGAAGTCATAAAATTGGCGGATTTTCAAAAGGTATTATTGTAATGTCGGTTTATAAGAGTAAGTAGATATTTTCTAAGTTTTCAAATATAAAATAAAATATTTTTGGAAGGCAATGAATAAATTTGAAAAATATATAATGACGAAAAAATTTGTAATTTTTAACATGCACGCAAAGATAATTGTTTACAATGTAATACTATATTTGTTTACAATAAATATAAGATTTATATTTGTTTACAATAAATATAAGATTTATATTTGTTTACAATAAATATAAGATTTATATTTGTTTACAATAAATATAAGATTTATATTTGTTTACAATAAATATAAGATTTATATTTGTTTACAATAAATATAAGATTTATATTTGTTTACAATAAATATAAGATTTATATTTGTTTACAATAAATATAAGATTTATATTTGTTTACAATAAATATAAGATTTATATTTGTTTACAATAAATATAAGATATATATTTGTTTACAATAAATATAAGATTTATATGATAAGGTAAAATTGCGCTAATATATTTCTACAAATCAACCAAAAAATAATTTTCTTATTTTACACAAATTATTATTACAGAAAATATTATAATAAAAGAATTTATATAGCTTTCAGGTATGAGGCTTAAAGATTCTACATTAGAAGTATTCGGAGAATGGCAAACTACAGAATATGAACCACCAGTAGCTAAAGATGGCATTGTACCTCGTAATGAGTATGGAAATGTAGATTTGTTTAAGAAATGTATGCTTCCAAAAGGCACAGTGCATATAAACCGTAAGCATAATATATCTTTCTTATTATTACGATATGGAGATACCTTGACATAAAATTTTTAATGATCAATTTGTTTCTATATAATTTTACATATCCTAAATGAAATGAATAACATTGTCACATATATTTAAATGACATTATTTTTTTATAAAATATGTTTTAAAAAATTAGGAAAATACTGAAAGAATTTCTATTTTGCTATATAATCAAAAAACAGAATTGCAGCATAGCTAAAGCAATGCATTATATAACGAATGAATCGTCATAGTTCCAGGATTAAATCGCATTGCCCGGAAACTGAACATAGATTGCGCGGCCGCCGTAGTGGGTTTCAATTTCGGTTGTAGAGGTGCCGTGCCAGCCACCGAAGGTTTTGTCGTATGCGCTGAATACGAAGATACATTACGAGAAGCTTGGGAAACAGAACAAGTCGAAGCGACTAAACGCGCCTTCGAAAAAAGAGAAAAGAGGATTTACGGCAATTGGAAGAAACTCATTAAAGGTTTACTTATTAAGGAGAAACTATCGCAAAAATATGAGTTTCAAGAGGAATCGAAAACCAATCAGTCGAACAAACGTCCGAAGCAACGAAAGGGCACCGTAAAAAAATCTAAAGCATGATAGAGTGTGTGTATACATATTGTCTTTTGTATGTTAATTGAAAAACTCTTATCTTTAAAATGAAGCATTTATTTGTGTTAAATACCATAATATTAAACATTCACAGATTCGATACTTATTTTTAAAATAATTTGTTCATCAGTATTTTACACAATAATAAACCAGATAAGAAATAATAATGATTTTTTGTCCTGTTTGAGTATTGTATGATTGGTTCTAATTATTTTGTGTAAATTAAATTTTATTTTTGTAATATAATATAACACAAAAATATTTCCTTTCTCTTCACAATTCCTTCTCTTTACAAATCCGTGAAAAATGCTATAGTAATATCTATTACATTTATATAAAAGAAAAATTTTCTTTTATATATTGGTCATATAGAATAATTTTTTATTGAAATATTTGTGATATTAATTTCTATATTTCAAACTTTGCATATTGAATATTATAAATTATGTAATTCATAGCAGACACACATACGCGCGCATATATGTATACATATATGTATATGTGTATATATATATGACTAGCTACAGTTTTTTCTGCGGATCTGAACAATGAAATTCACATTTGTATATATGCATATACTCTATTCTTCATTATTTAAGTTTAAAATTACCCGAATATTTTATGTCTTATATCATTTTTGGATCTTTCTAAGGAAAAACGATGCGATCTCAAAAAATATATACGAACCTAAGCACGTATACTGTCCACTGAAGCCAGTCATAGCGCGATATATATTTCTGATTATATTTTCTTTTCCGCAACAACTTTTCAACAATATTACATTACACGCTTTAATACTAATAATGAATAACTTTATTGTAGAGAAATTACCTGAAATTCCTAATCTTCTTTAGCCTTGCAATCGAAAATTCAAAGCTCATTGCGAGCAACACAACTGAATGCAACGAAATACATTTTGCGAACGCGGGAACGATAAACTATGAATTGCTCGCTTTGTCGCGAACCAGAAAAGGCGCCATATTCAAATTTTTTAAATGTTAGTTTTTTTCATAATAAGTGTTAGAAAACTATTGTAACCAGAGAGAAGCCTGCAGTTTTTTGTAAGATGCTTTTTCTAATTGATAATTAATTTTTTAATTTACGAATTCATTATTTGGATGCATTATTTGGATGCATTAGTGCGCACCGATACACATTAAAAGCTATTATGTACAAATTTATTATATAAGCATAAGTAATTAAAACAATAAGATAATTAATACTACAAGTCTTTTGAAAATAAACACATGACAAAATAAATATATACGTTCCGCTTAAAACTATTTTCGCTCGAAAAATAAGATTCTTTGCCCTCCACTAAACGCTTCGGAGCGTTAAAAATAGTGTCTAATCGGAGTTTTATTGAATACATACAAACTTTTATAAAATTTTTAATTTCTTATATTTTTGAACGTCTCCGATGTCATCGAAAGCGAGAGCAAGAACAAGTAAAGAGCAAGCGAAATGACATATATCGTCAAAGAATTCCGAAGTCTCTTATATACGTGAGGGACTTATTCCTTTATTATAGTAAAAAACAATAAAACACGGTTAAAATTATAGAGAAATATAATTAATTATGCTTATTAATTTGTCTATAATAGCTTTTAATGTATACATTGATACGCACTAGCGCATCCAACTGAATTCATAAATTAAAAAATTAATTGAATAATATAATTATAAAAAGAAAATTAATAATAAAAAGCAGTATAAATGAAAAGTATGATTTGATACTTAAAATGCTTAATACTTTTGTTTCAAGAATAAGAAAAAAGTGAAAGCAATCTATTGTAAATATCTTCTATACATTATTTAACAATTAAGAAAAAAATGATTAAGAAAATTTATTTAATTTTACATGCGCATATACATAAAAATACTTCAATTGTAATTTATTATCGCTGTAGTATATACTAGAATGACAAAACATCACGCGCAGCTAATAAAACATTAATAAATATTTCTCTGCATTTTTGATCTACAATTATGTATTTAGCACGGACATGCACCAACCGGCCGTTTGACCGTGGCACCGAAAAATGAATCTGGCCATGTAGTTCCGCCGGTTCTAAGATGGATCTAGTTGACGCTACTGTACGAGCTAGAAAAAGTATCTTTTGAAAAACGGCGGCATGGCCTCTCTCATGCTTCTCTCTGATTTCGTCATCATCAGGATTGGAAACATAATAGTGAAAATATTCATCATAGACGCGTGATAACCTAAATTTAAGGTTGTCCGATAAAAAATACACAAGAAATACGCACAATAGTGTATAATGTTTCGATCATATCATTTCGCTAATGTGGCCTCGCGTGCTATTGTCATTAGAAAGAACAATACACGATTTGTAAGTTTTCATAAACTGAAAGAAACATTCAAACATTTATTGGGCACGGATTCCAATAGGTTACCGTATAAACACGTTTGTCAAATTGGTGATCCTGTTTTACGTGGCCACGCTATGAAGATAGAACCAGAAGTCATAAAATTGGCGGATTTTCAAAAGGTATTATTGTAATGTCGGTTTATAAGAGTAAGTAGATATTTTCTAAGTTTTCAAATATAAAATAAAATATTTTTGGAAGGCAATGAATAAATTTGAAAAATATATAATGACGAAAAAATTTGTAATTTTTAACATGCACGCAAAGATAATTGTTTACAATGTAATACTATATTTGTTTACAATAAATATAAGATTTATATTTGTTTACAATAAATATAAGATATATATTTGTTTACAATAAATATAAGATTTATATTTGTTTACAATAAATATAAGATTTACAACAAATAGCAAAAAGAAACTAAGTACACACTTAATTTGTGTGTATAAAAAAATTTTATGATTAGCTTATGAGATAATTCTGTTTTGCCTATTGTATTGCAGTTATTGACTTTTAAAAAAAAATTTCAATATATACACGGGTATATTGAAATACTACAGTATTATATTGATTAAATGAAAAGATATTAAAGAAATGGTACAAAAAACTGATGCACACACAATATCTTATATATAAACTAATTTAAACAAACAAAATATTCAGAAACATAAATGACTTGGATTTTGCAAATTTTGTACAAGATTAATAATATTAAAATAGCTTGAAAATCAGTGTAAGAATTATATATTTTTCTATCTAACTGTTTTTACAGATTATTTCTTAAGCGATTTTATTAAGTATGTGTTTTTTTTTCATTGTTGTACGAATTTGTTTTATTACAATAAATTAAAAATCTCATGAATGTAAAATATATATATATAAAAATGGTATTGCATCGTTGTTGATCATTCAGGTAATCACACATTTGATAAGCATTATGAGGAGATATGAAGCGTGCGGTATGTCCGGACCTCAAATTGGACTTCCATGGCAAATATTCGCTATAGAATACACTGAGGATCATATGAAAACGATTCATGAGGTTGTCAAGAAAGTCCACGAAGTGGAAATCATTCCAGTGACAATTTTTATCAACCCTGAATTAAAAGTTATAGATCATACGCCTATCATCCTTCATGAAGGATGTGAGAGTGTTCGTGGATATTCTGCTGCTGTACCCAGAGCTTACGAAGTAGAAATTACAGCTCTGAATACTTCTGCTGAACAATTTACATGGAGAGGACGTGGATGGTCTGCTAGAATAGCACAACATGAATATGATCACTTACAAGTAAGATAGAGATAAATCTCTAAAGAAGAAAAAATATTTCATATATAATGCTACATTATGTAGAATATTATGTAAAAAAATATGTAGAAGAAAAATATAAGTAATTTTTTTTTTACTTTTTAGGGAAAACTATACATAGATAAAATGGATATAAACACATTTCATTGCACGGCTTGGGAAAAAATTAACAAAAACGGCGGCAAAACGCACTTAAGTTATTTACCGAAAGAATAAAATGTTTTGTGTATTATTATTTATATTGACTAAAATAGATGCAGTATTTACATAAAAATTAAATTGCGTTTATTTATTTTCCACAATGTGATGTATATGTATAAAACATGTGAAATTGACATAAATCTAAATTATATGATTTAATTGTTATCTTATTATATAGTTTTATTCTGCAGGTTAATCTCTCCTAGCTGTTATTTTTATGTCACATATGTGCTTTTATTTGTAAATAAAATAGACGTGGAAGAAAATATAATATAACTATATTTTATTTATAGAATAATAGAAAATGAATTGATTATATTCTTTGATAATATACTAAATAATATTCTTTGATAATATTGTTAATAATATTCTTTGATAATAAATTAAAAAGTTTGCTTTATTATTCACTTGAATATATACTCAAAGAAATTGTCTGATAATTTGTCATGTGGCATATAATGATTTACCTTGATAATAAAAATTGTTTATATCTTAGTACAGACGTATATGTTTATATTTCGTCACATTGATTCGAAATACAACAGTTACATAAAAAATTAGATGTTTTATTTACGCATTTTTCAGGATACAATTATAGCAGACTATTAGACATATGATTACAGGTATGCGGAGCTATATCGTATCGAATGAATGAAGAGAATAAATATTTTTTCGTGCGAACCGTGTTTTTACATGATTCTATAGGGGCTATACCTTTTTGCGTTACATTTAGTCGCTATCTTACTAGCGTAACTTTGAATATCGTTCAATTATTTTATATTCTATCACCTTGCTTATATTTTTCAATGGTCTTTGAGATACGATATTCAATATACATTATATTAATGCAGATGTATTATCTATGATTTTTTTATTATATACGATTTGATTGCATTTCTCGATAACAAGAAATAATTTTCTAATTTTTTCAAATATTTTAAAAATGTGTGTGAATATAATATATCATCTCGTAAATTTTTCTTTCTCAAATTACACGGTGGAGTTTATATTTTTTCAAAGGAGAAGAATTTTAAATAAAAAAGTTTTACCCGTCTATTTTTATTTAGAATAAACTTCATCTAGATAGAGATTTACGAATAGCTAGAACGGGTTGATAGATTGATACAAAAAGCGAGTTATAAATATCACAACAGCGGTGGTATGAAAAGTTTCTTGGTTCCGGGTGTATTCTGTTTATTGTTTCAGCGCGTCATTCATATATAGAACTGTTTTGGACCGTTTAAAGAGATGAAGCATGCTCGCTTCTTTCGATAATCTAATCCTTTAGCTGGGCAATTATTATCTTCTTATTCATAAATAATTACGATTTTGAATATTTTCTTAATTACATACTTTTTATTACAATTATGCTATTATGTGAAGTGTAATATGTACATCTAAATCGTATCTTAAAAAGCGTTTGTTTTCCCAGAGTATTTCTTGCTCCGACAACATCTGAAATTCTAAACGAAACACATCCGTTATAAAGAGAAGTTACAAACATTTTTCTTGAATCCATTAATATTCAAATTGTTGAAACTGAGAATGAATAGAGTAATCATATATCTAAAAGAGACAATTAATAAATTAAAGTTTCTTTAAAATACTATACAAGTTATTGATAAAACAAAGAAAATGCTAACATTTTAAAATATAACAAGATCTTTTATCTTAAAGTTTATTAAAAACCAGAGACTTTATGATATCAATATGTCTAAATAGAAAAATGTGTATTATTTCCAAATTTTTATTTCATGAATGAGTCAAGCGATTGAAATTGAGACTTTTGCAAATGAAAAGTAATATCGTGTGAGAAAAGTTTTGCTGATTACCTACAGATTATCTACGTGTTCACAACCACATTTAGTGTGCATATTCACATAATTTACAACGTTTAATTTATTAACAAAAATCTTGTAATTCATTGCAGTTGGTTGTGAAGATACATATATAATCTTAAATAAAAGTTTCCACGTTTGATTTTTCACTTATTGTTAGTGTAAAATATATAATACGTGAGATTTTTATATTTGTATTTTTAAGCTTATTGATTGAAGAGAAGTGTTTTATCTTTCAACAAGATTAAGCCTTATACCGAGCATTATCTTGGATTTCATCATTTTTTTTTCAGAAGAATTAACACATAGGAACACGACAATTACGCAATGTACGTTATTACATTATACCGTTATTTTTTTATGTAAACATTATACTCTCCTAACATCAATTATCCGCGAATCGTATAATGTTTCCGTTTTTGAAAAACACTGCGTATTAATGTTTTGGAAACTGCAATATTGGTCCGTCCATCTTTTTTACATGACTATGAATGATACGTCAGGAGCGAGATAATTCAATTATGATCAACAGAATTACAGTTTTTGAATGATATGCTCTATACATACAATAATAACACAAATATTTGTTACAATTAGCGTCCCTGATTAATTAGTGATCAGAAAAACTAGGTAAAAGTTTTTGAATTAAAATAATAGTGTCTTTGGTGTGTTACAGAGTGACCAGTTGACAGCGGCAAGAAATGTCGCTATTTGCAAGATGTGATTAAGCACAACTGCGATCGCGCAGACAGAGAGGAAAAGACTAGGGATAGGTTCTTATATCCAGGTATGTACTCGTTGTTGTTGAGAGTTTTCCTCCTCCTGTCAGGACATATGTCCTCTGGTCTGCGAGGTCCTCCACTTTCTGCCATGACCTCGATGATGAGCCAACAGCCGGTCGTTTCCGCCTCTCATTGATTGTAGGTGCAGCGGTATTCGCACCGTGCCTATCGAATTAGAAATAGGGCTTGTTTGCTTCGATACATCGATTGCTACGTATCGTGCTACATCCAATTATACTATGATAATTAATAGAGCCGTTTCGCGCCTTTGTGTTCAATCGTATGCGTAAGTTCCGGTGTAATTTGCCCGCGAGTAATCGTTAGTTGCTCATAATTAGAGAATCACGCGAAAAACTAAAAGAATATATATATACGTTATATGCATTTATTATGTGCCAACATTCTATAATTACGACATGTATAAAAAAAGAACTTATAACATAACTAAACTGACAAGAAAATTCGATGGAATGAAATATATTGTATATATTGAAACAAACTTGATGGATTTTATGAGATAATATCAGAAATTATATAATTATATAATAATAAAGCTCGCTTTATATCATTTATAATTTGCGATAAAATTCAAGATAGAATTCTATTTATTTAATTTTATGTAATGTATAAT